CCCATCGGATATTTGTGGATCCAGATGGTACACCGGGTTCGGCCATCTACAAGTGTGAGGGATCCAGAGCGACAGTTGCAACATCCGTGGGAAAATTTGTCGCAGACTAGCGTACAATAACTGTATGCGTCCGTGTTCAAGCGTATTACCATATGTATCCAAGCAAGAGGAAGTCCAACAGGGTATAAAAGATGCTTTGAATTGTATCATTGCTACGTCCTCTTGTTATGATATTGTAACCGCTTATTACCATGGCCATTATGTTTGCACTAAAATTTTAATTCGAGTCAAACACCTCCTTCGTGTAACTTTTTGTTTTTTGTCAATGAGTGTGTTATAAATACTATTAAGTTTTATTTTTATTATTATTAGTTGATTGACAATCATATACAACGAAATATATAAAACACTATTGCAAATTCATAGTTGTAAAGTTCACTTACCTACTTAACTATAATACTTGCCATGAAATCTTTACTTTCATAGTTGTATTATGCATAACGAAACTTTTAAGGAATGGAAATGACATTGTTTATTTTAAAATAAAATAAAATACGGCCTAGGTATGCCTATAATAAACAAATTCATGCCTATAATAAACCATTCATGCCTATAATAAACAAAGTATAAAACTAAATAAATTTAAGAATATAAGCGTGTATTAAGTAAACAGGGAAAAACTTGCTACCAACCGTGATAAAATCCATGTTCCCAGATAGAAATTTCGGTTGAAAATAATTAACATTCCAGTTGTAGGCCCAATAGTGGTGGAGTGGCTAAAACTACCGAACACTGGTAATTGGTCGCGACTTCTCACCTTACCAACGAGCTGGTCACGTAGAATTTTCTGAGATTTTTCACGTTTGTAACACTTAAATATGAGCCAGTTTCACGTAGAAAGTCCTCTAGAGAAGCATTCCAACTTTGGCAGATCGCCCTTGTGTTGTGTTGCCTTATTCCATCAATTCAATCCCGCTGTGCACTTCAGTGCTGCCAACAGTTTATTGGTAGATTTCCCACCCTTTATTTGAGGAATACTCACATTTCCCTGCCTTTTCCCTGTGATTACTAAGCCTAAAAAGTTCATCTAGGTACTAAAAAACTATAAGTTATGATACGTAAGTTATAAAGTTATAACTTTTTGTAATGTATAATGCAATATTATCAGTATTTCGGGAAATTCCAGTGCAGTGGCATCACTGGTGCACTTTCTAAGTCAAGATCTATAAACACAAGGTCTGGACACAATACAGTGATGCATCGCGGCAGTCACCATATTGGGTCCTTTCACCATGTGTGTACTGTGTTTTTATAGAGAATTTAGTTATTTGTTTTTCCGATTTTAATTAGTTAAATTTCTTGTTATCTATTTTTTAAAAAAATAGTTCGGTATTCAGCACCGAACTGTAAAAATTCTTCAGCAAAGGTGTAAGATTTCCGTTTTTCCGGCTGACAGATCCAGGAGAGTGATGATTTAAGAGTTAATATTAGTTAGTAATGGTTTATTAATGATTATATACAGAGAAACCAGATTTATTAGAATTGAATAATAATAATAATAATAATAATAATAAATTTTCATCGTAAATAATTGAAGAAATTCTGCTTTAAAAGATTTTTGTCTGACATTTTATTGTTTGGTAATTACTCGACTTTCTTAATTAATATACATTAGGAAAAAACATGCTTTACTTATATTATAAAATCTTTTCTTAACAAATGTTTTTAGGCCATTAAAATTACTTTTTCAAATTAAAAAAACAAAAAAATATGTGGTTCCTGTGATAAATATTGTCATAAGAAATATTCACCATTATTTTCCTTTAGCAGGAACAGCAGCCATATAAGATGTTTGAATATATTCAATAAGCATAATTATTATTGCTTTAATAACTTCATCTTTTGATAGAAATAATGCTATTTTCCGCATAAACTATCTTTTAGTGTAAACACGTTGCATTTATATGTCAGAGTAACCTCTAAATCAGGGGTGTCCAACCCGCGGCCCAAGATAAGTTCCAATGCGGCCCAATAAACGTGTAAACAAAACCGACAAATTCTTTTATTTTTTTAATTATTTATTTATTTCAACGGCATAAACTCAAAAAAAAAAAATTCACAAAGCTGTAAACTTTTATACATATTTTATTTTTGAGTGAAAAGGAAATATTTTCAAATACTTGGAGATGTGTGAAAATGACGAAGGAATACTNTGGCGCTACGAGTACTACGCCCTAAGTTTGCTTTTCTGTGAGGATGAACTACAACACATCATCTTCTATCTATATAAATAAAAATGTAATGTTCGTTTGTTCCTACCGATTTCTTTGAATTTTGATACAATGCTGCATTCGAATACGCACGTGTTTTTATATAATATACATGTCGAAATTCCCTTACTGGGGGGAAATGGACAGAATTAAGGCTTACCAAAAAGAACTCTGCTTCTATTTATACTATTTCAGTTGCAGTTTTTTGCGGTTTTGATTGCGTTTTAATAGGGTTCGTCAACAGAATATATACTAAAAAGGGATTTTTCGATATCCCCCCCGCAGGGGAGAGAGACAGGATTAAGTGAAGAACTTGGCTTCTGTTATACTATTTTAGATGCGGTTTTTTGCGTTTTAATAGGGTACGTCAAGGGAATGTACATTAAGAAGAAATTTTTCGAAAAATTCCCTCTTTCCCCACGAGGGAAGTGTTATACATTTATAATAGATACATTTTGAGCCGCAACAACCCGTGACAGGGTCTGCCAGTTTTAAATATTTTTATATATTTCGATGTTTTAACCCACGGGTTCCCAACCTATGGGTCGCGACCCGCAAGGGGGTCGCGACGGGTTTTCTTGGGGTCGCCAACTTATACGGTAAACTAAAAAAATATTCACTATAATGCAATTTTTATTTTTAATGGTGTCTTAAGTTTGAATAATTTCATATATATATACTTTTTTTAAATTAAAATAAGTGTAGTCTAGGTACCCTATTCTGTCACAGTTGGTTGAAACATGTGTTGAGAGTTTGAGAGTAATGGTGAAATGCCTCTATTGTTTGAGGCAATTCATTCGAAACGGAACCGAGAATTTCTTAGAAGGTAAGCAATAAAACGATCAGATGACCATCGAACGAATTTACTCAAACAACATATGTATATAGGTATAGTCTGTTTATTTTCAACAGTCAGAGCTCCAAAACAATATTCAACGAGTGACTGTCACGCGTTCTTTAAAGTATGCTTTGTGATTGGTCGCTTACTATACCAGATGACCCGATGCATACTAATCAACAGGGCAATATTGGTTTGTTGTTCGGGAGGTTCGGTTGGCATCAGCGTTGCCAGATTTGGCTACTTTGCGCCAAATTTCACTATTCTTTTATCAGTTTGGCGTAAAAAATATGATTTGGCGTATTGGCTACTTTTTAGGTTACAGAAATTTGACTCGGCTGCATTCTTGGCTGCATATTACTTAAAAATATATTATTTGAATGAAAATGCACTTTAAAATGGTGTTTCGTCGTTTTTTTTTTATTAATTAGAGACCCAAATAAGACAAATATTTGTGTTTTTCAAATAAATTTTTGTTTGTTTCCTTTATAATAAATGAATTTATTTATTTCTAAGTAAAAATTGAAAGGGTCTGTAGAAGTAATTTTTTAAAATATCCTTGTTCGTGATAAAGTTTTAATACTTATTACTACAATCTAGACATGTTAATCCTTAAATATACTTGTATATTTAAGGATTGTGTCACAAATATATTATATATACTTGTAGCCCAAAACTCCATGACTTCTTCCAATGTGGCCCAGAAGAACAAAAAGGTTGGACACCCCTGCTCTAAATGAAAAGATACTCGATTTGAAATTATAAAAGGAATTCCGTGAAATCTATACCGTAAACTTGGAAGTAAGGACCCAATATGGCGGCTCCATAGGAAACATTCGTGTCCTGACCTTGTGTTTATAGACCCTGTTCTAAGCCACTAAGAAGCGCCACCATGCGGCTAACGTTACACAACGTTACAGCTGGGTAATGGAATCATTATAACAACTACTATTTTTTTTCAGATAATCAGTTTCAAAATTCAAATTTGTAATATATTCTATTTTGATTGGTTGATTACGTAACAATTTCAAAATTAAATTTTATTTTTTAAAAGGGTTAATAAACTTGAAGTTTATTAGGTGAAAATGTTATTTTATTGAGAATTATATACGTTCGTTGTATAAGCAATTATTTTTAATCAATAAAAGGCTAATTTATAAATAATTTATTAATAAAATAAACTTTATAATATCATAAACTTAGGATAAATTAATTCATGTGGATTATTTAATTTTGCTTTAATTAATTACAATTAAAATGATACTTAATTGTATATTTAAATTTAAGTGTTATAACCGATTTTAAGTGATTTTATTTTAGTTTTAATGTAAATCATTCTAAATATTTGTGATTCGAGAATGTAATTAATTATAATTTATATATAAATATATATAATTATAATTAAGCTATTAGGAATCAATTTGTAGTGAAAATTAAATTCTTTTATTATTTATTAGGAAAATTAATATAGAGAAATTATTTTCGATGCCGTATATAATCCAATTATTCCTAATTCAGGTGAATTGGATTCAGAAGTAGTGATGGGACTGTTGAACAGACAACCAGTCGCTCTTGAAGAATTGGTTAGTGTCTTGAGATCATTCCACGATTGTGTTCGATTTGGCGATGGAACTAGATTCAAGAAGGTCAAATATGTTCAAAATATATTCAAAAATAATCGAATTTAAATAATAATTCAAATTAAATTCTTATTACAATTACCCAATTCGTTCGTTTGTACAGGTTCGATTGTATTTAATTTAATTATGTCTCAATTTGAACTTATTTAAGTAAATCGAAGGAATAAAGTGATTTAAACTGATTCGTCACTTAAAATTTTATTTATTTTATGACATTTATAAAATAAATTGACATTTTACGTAATGCTGCGCTTTTTTCATATATTTTTTTAAATGTATTTTCTTTGTTAATAAGATTAATTAAAGAAATTATTTTTGATATTTTTTTAATTAATTAGCAATGGAATGTATTTAATAATTAGTGAATTTTTAATGGTGAAATGAAAGGAGTGACAGCTCTACGTCCGAAACGGAGACGAAGCGACGGAGTCCTTCCTCCTTTACGAATCACGTGATGATTATCAAGTGATGTTGAAAGCTCCCAAACATCTTTAAATTCTAAAATTAAAATATGTAAATTAAAAACTTACAGAAATTAAATTAAATTTTAAAAAAAAAGTAAGTGTTGGAGAACGATTCGTAGATTAGTTTTATAAGTTAACTCTAGAAAAAATCGAATTTTTAAAAAGTTTCCTCGTTATAAACTCAAGTTTTATTGGATAAGAAGATATTGAAATTGGCCATTTGGTAATCTTTTTAGCATCGCATCTAGTGACGTGGGTAAATGCGATTAAATTTTAAAATTGAATCAAATAAGCAACAGAATATTTATAGAATAAATTTTTAAATTTATTTTTTTTATATTTAAGATGCTTTAATTTTTTATTTAATTTTCTTAAAAAAGTTATATTATTTATTAGAATTCATTCATTTTAATGGGTTCGATTCATTAACACTTTTTAAAACCACCATTACTTATCATATTAAATAGCATTTATTGCAGCCATAACTGAATATACCCGGCAAAAAGTGGGCATTTAATATATATATATATATATATATATATATGTGTGTAGGGTGGTCCAAAAGTCAGTTAACAGACATATTTTTCAGTCTCCTTAAAAAAATCTGAAAAAAGATATCTGTCAACTGATTTTTGGACCATCCTATACATATATATTAAATGCCTACTTTGTGGCGGGTATATTATACGTATAGGGTGGTCCAAAAGTCAGTTAACAGTTTTTTTTTGAGGATTTTTTTATGGAGAAAAATATATCAGTCAACTAACTTTTGGACTTCCTTACGTTGTTAAAATTTAAATTTATATATAATATATATAATGTTTTATTTTAATTATATAAAACCAATTAAAATTTTCCAAAATATTCAAGTGAATTTTCCTCCGCTGCAAAAATTAATTTTTTTGAATTTCTCTTCGAATTTATTGTTATTTTTTTAAAAATAAAATACGAAAACAAATATAATTTCTAATTTATTTTTAAAATTTACTATTAAATACCAAAAATTTTGTATGATTTTAATGCTTACACGATACATTAAACAATTTGTACCGTTTAAAGCCGCCATATTGTTTTAGGTAGCGTAGTAAGCGATGCGCTGATAACAACTCCCGACGCCGCGAAGTCATAAATTATACAATTGTTTAAATTATAATTATTACAAGAAAGAAAGCGCCGTTTTAAAAAGATTACGCTCAATATTAGTTTTATTTTGAATTAAATTTTAAGTGATAATTTTTTTCGCGTGTTTTCGCTGGATGCGCGTCGCGTTACTCGGAGAGAAGCGCTTGACCTCGTTGTAAAAATTCCTAAACGTTTTATAACAGATTGTAAATTATTTATTATTTTATTAATTAATAAAAATTAAATTATTTATTTATTGATTTAAAACGTATCTTAAAGTGTAAAATTTAATATTAATAAATGCAAGAAATATAGAATTAAAGCAAAACAGTAAAGTGGCGCTTCGCGTTTGGCGCGCGCCACCATAGCGTAACAAAACATTTCTACTTACTTTGCACATCGAATGGGGGATTCTTAAAGCCATGAGAAGTATCAGAAAATATGATGAAAATTATTAAATTTAAGCATAAGAAATTGAAGAGAGCCATTTTGTAAATTGTTTAATTTATCTGCAAGAATAAAAATTTAATTAAATTTTTAATATTTTTTTAAAACATTTAAATCAAAATATTCTCTCACCCTTTAGACTTTCGCCCGCAAATGACGAGTAAAAAGTCATGTAATTGGCTTTAAATATCCCAATCGAATCACGTGACTTAAACCAGCTTATGGAAATCTTCGTTATTTAATCTACTTACATTGAAATATTCGAATAAAATAAATTAAAAGAGGATAAAAATGACAATTTTTGACAGTAACATCGCTAATTTAAATTTAATCTGATTTTATTGTTCGTTTCTGTTTGGCATTGTATACGTTCCACGTCAATTTGACGTCATCTCTCCCGGTTTTACAACGATAAATTGGAAAGAATGACGTGAAATTCACGCAAGGCGAATTAATTAATTTCGCTCCCGACATTTGGCGCTGTAGTCGCATCTTGCCGCAAAATGGCTGTCTAGTGCATTAAGAAGGGGCGATTTAATTTCCACCTTATTGAATTTAAATTTTCAAATTAAATAACGGAATTTAAAAATCAATTTACGAACTTTTATTCAAAGTACAGTATTAAAGTTTTCAGTGGTAAAATCAAAATTAAATTTAAAAAAAAGTAATAATAATAACATATGCAGCCTAAACGTTAAAATTAAAACGTTAAAATTTATAATAAATTTACTTGTAATTTATTAAATAATACGTAAAGTTGCAATGTAAAATGGTATTTTTATAGGCTCTATTAAAATAGAAACATGAAACATTGCCACATGCAACAAATTGCATGTGACAATGTAAGCTTTTATAAGTACAAACTCTGTAAAATTCACTCCAATGAAAAATTCCAAATTGCTATTTTCTCGTTTGCTATTTCTTAGGCCGACCATAATATCTTGATGTCAAAATGGGGCGAAAATAGTCAACCCAAGAATATTTTTCAAATAGACTAACTTATCAATAAGTGGACAAAATAATAAACACTGGTAGCTGGTTGCGGGTTTGCACCTCGCCAACTGGCCATCCACGTGGAGTTTTCGGGGTTTTTTCCACAGCTGAATAACAGCTAAATAAGGGCCTGTTTCCTATATAAAGTCCCCCGGAGCATCCCCTCGGCAGAGTGTCTCGTTGTCGCATACAAATAAACATCAAACTGATCGCATTGTAAGTCGCAATATGAAATAGCCGAGGTGGTTAATCTGTAATCTGCAAGCTTATTGTTCTGGGGTATTTGGGATATAATCTTGGCTGTGTCAAAAATCTTTTCAAAAAAAATTTTCGGGATGGTCCCAAATATATCGGGTCTCATGGTTGCGTAGCTACATTGGGGTGCTGGTAAATTTGAATTAGAAGACCTCGTGTACAGTGTCGACTTCAAATATTTTACTTCGGAAAGTTTTTGGGGAATCCCCGTTCATTTCTTAACGCGGCCTCTGGCAGGCTAGGATACATGCGCAGACATCTTGTTACATACGGGTACAGAATATACTGAATTCTGATTGGTCGGTTTTGAATCGCCTCCGATTTCAGTCGGCGCGCAATTGAAAACAAAGTAATAGACTATTAAACCAATAAGCGTTCACGTACTAAAAGTAAAACGAATGGCGATTGGCTCCTTTTTTACTCTCTCTCTGCCTTACAGGCACCAAAAGGCTTTTCTTCAAGCCAATCGCGGATTCGGATAGTTAAAGACGGGTCCAAAATATCCAGACCAAACCATCAAAAATTCCTGACGCTTTTGGACCGCCAAGATTCGATTTCGGGTCCCCCCAAAGTGTTAAGTTATAACTTAATTATGTATTATTTTAATGCCTAGATGCCCTAGCCTTAATNTATTATTTATAAATATATTAGTCGAATAAAAATGCACTTTAAAATGGTGTTTCGTCATTTTTTATTAATTAGAGACCCAAATAAAACAAATATTTGTGTTTTTCAAATAAATTTTTGTTTGTTTCCTTTATAATAAATGAATTTATTTATTTCTAAGTAAAAATTGGAAGGGTCTGTAGAAGTAATTTTTTAAAATATCCTTGTTCGTGATAAAGTTTTAATACTTATTACTACAATCTAGACATGTTAATCCTTAAATATACTTGTATATTTAAGGATTGTGTCACAAATATATTATATATACTTGTAGCCCAAAACTCCATGACTTCTTCCAATGTGGCCCAGAAGAACAAAAAGGTTGGACACCCCTGCTCTAAATGAAAAGATACTCGATTTGAAATTATAAAAGGAATTCCGTGAAATCTATACCGTAAACTTGGAAGTAAGGACCCAATATGGCGGCTCCATAGGAAACATTCGTGTCCTGACCTTGTGTTTATAGACCCTGTTCTAAGCCACTAAGAAGCGCCACCATGCGGCTAACGTTACACAACGTTACAGCTGGGTAATGGAATCATTATAACCACTACTATTTTTTTTCAGATAATCAGTTTCAAAATTCAGATTTGTAATATATTCTATTTTGATTGGTTGATTACGTAACAATTTCAAAATTAAATTTTATTTTTTAAAAGGGTTAATAAACTTGAAGTTTATTAGGTGAAAATGTTATTTTATTGAGAATTATATACGTTCGTTGTATAAGCAATTATTTTTAATCAATAAAAGGCTAATTTATAAATAATTTATTAATAAAATAAACTTTATAATATCATAAACTTAGGATAAATTAATTCATGTGGATTATTTAATTTTGCTTTAATTAATTACAATTAAAATGATACTTAATTGTATATTTAAATTTAAGTGTTATAACCGATTTTAAGTGATTTTATTTTAGTTTTAATGTAAATCATTCTAAATATTTGTGATTCGAGAATGTAATTAATTATAATTTATATATAAATATATATAATTATAATTAAGCTATTAGGAATCAATTTGTAGTGAAAATTAAATTCTTTTATTATTTATTAGGAAAATTAATATAGAGAAATTATTTTCGATGCCGTATATAATCCAATTATTCCTAATTCAGGTGAATTGGATTCAGAAGTAGTGATGGGACTGTTGAACAGACAACCAGTCGCTCTTGAAGAATTGGTTAGTGTCTTGAGATCATTCCACGATTGTGTTCGATTTGGCGATGGAACTAGATTCAAGAAGGTCAAATATGTTCAAAATATATTCAAAAATAATCGAATTTAAATAATAATTCAAATTAAATTCTTATTACAATTACCCAATTCGTTCGTTTGTACAGGTTCGATTGTATTTAATTTAATTATGTCTCAATTTGAACTTATTTAAGTAAATCGAAGGAATAAAGTGATTTAAACTGATTCGTCACTTAAAATTTTATTTATTTTATGACATTTATAAAATAAATTGACATTTTACGTAATGCTGCGCTTTTTTCATATATTTTTTTAAATGTATTTTCTTTGTTAATAAGATTAATTAAAGAAATTATTTTTGATATTTTTTTAATTAATTAGCAATGGAATGTATTTAATAATTAGTGAATTTTTAATGGTGAAATGAAAGGAGTGACAGCTCTACGTCCGAAACGGAGACGAAGCGACGGAGTCCTTCCTCCTTTACGAATCACGTGATGATTATCAAGTGATGTTGAAAGCTCCCAAACATCTTTAAATTCTAAAATTAAAATATGTAAATTAAAAACTTACAGAAATTAAATTAAATTTTAAAAAAAAAGTAAGTGTTGGAGAACGATTCGTAGATTAGTTTTATAAGTTAACTCTAGAAAAAATCGAATTTTTAAAAAGTTTCCTCGTTATAAACTCAAGTTTTATTGGATAAGAAGATATTGAAATTGGCCATTTGGTAATCTTTTTAGCATCGCATCTAGTGACGTGGGTAAATGCGATTAAATTTTAAAATTGAATCAAATAAGCAACAGAATATTTATAGAATAAATTTTTAAATTTATTTTTTTTATATTTAAGATGCTTTAATTTTTTATTTAATTTTCTTAAAAAAGTTATATTATTTATTAGAATTCATTCATTTTAATGGGTTCGATTCATTAACACTTTTTAAAACCACCATTACTTATCATATTAAATAGCATTTATTGCAGCCATAACTGAATATACCCGGCAAAAAGTGGGCATTTAATATATATATATATATATATATATATATGTGTGTAGGGTGGTCCAAAAGTCAGTTAACAGACATATTTTTCAGTCTCCTTAAAAAAATCTGAAAAAAGATATCTGTCAACTGATTTTTGGACCATCCTATACATATATATTAAATGCCTACTTTGTGGCGGGTATATTATACGTATAGGGTGGTCCAAAAGTCAGTTAACAGTTTTTTTTTGAGGATTTTTTTATGGAGAAAAATATATCAGTCAACTAACTTTTGGACTTCCTTACGTTGTTAAAATTTAAATTTATATATAATATATATAATGTTTTATTTTAATTATATAAAACCAATTAAAATTTTCCAAAATATTCAAGTGAATTTTCCTCCGCTGCAAAAATTAATTTTTTTGAATTTCTCTTCGAATTTATTGTTATTTTTTTAAAAATAAAATACGAAAACAAATATAATTTCTAATTTATTTTTAAAATTTACTATTAAATACCAAAAATTTTGTATGATTTTAATGCTTACACGATACATTAAACAATTTGTACCGTTTAAAGCCGCCATATTGTTTTAGGTAGCGTAGTAAGCGATGCGCTGATAACAACTCCCGACGCCGCGAAGTCATAAATTATACAATTGTTTAAATTATAATTATTACAAGAAAGAAAGCGCCGTTTTAAAAAGATTACGCTCAATATTAGTTTTATTTTGAATTAAATTTTAAGTGATAATTTTTTTCGCGTGTTTTCGCTGGATGCGCGTCGCGTTACTCGGAGAGAAGCGCTTGACCTCGTTGTAAAAATTCCTAAACGTTTTATAACAGATTGTAAATTATTTATTATTTTATTAATTAATAAAAATTAAATTATTTATTTATTGATTTAAAACGTATCTTAAAGTGTAAAATTTAATATTAATAAATGCAAGAAATATAGAATTAAAGCAAAACAGTAAAGTGGCGCTTCGCGTTTGGCGCGCGCCACCATAGCGTAACAAAACATTTCTACTTACTTTGCACATCGAATGGGGGATTCTTAAAGCCATGAGAAGTATCAGAAAATATGATGAAAATTATTAAATTTAAGCATAAGAAATTGAAGAGAGCCATTTTGTAAATTGTTTAATTTATCTGCAAGAATAAAAATTTAATTAAATTTTTAATATTTTTTTAAAACATTTAAATCAAAATATTCTCTCACCCTTTAGACTTTCGCCCGCAAATGACGAGTAAAAAGTCATGTAATTGGCTTTAAATATCCCAATCGAATCACGTGACTTAAACCAGCTTATGGAAATCTTCGTTATTTAATCTACTTACATTGAAATATTCGAATAAAATAAATTAAAAGAGGATAAAAATGACAATTTTTGACAGTAACATCGCTAATTTAAATTTAATCTGATTTTATTGTTCGTTTCTGTTTGGCATTGTATACGTTCCACGTCAATTTGACGTCATCTCTCCCGGTTTTACAACGATAAATTGGAAAGAATGACGTGAAATTCACGCAAGGCGAATTAATTAATTTCGCTCCCGACATTTGGCGCTGTAGTCGCATCTTGCCGCAAAATGGCTGTCTAGTGCATTAAGAAGAGGCGATTTAATTTCCACCTTATTGAATTTAAATTTTCAAATTAAATAACGGAATTTAAAAATCAATTTACGAACTTTTATTCAAAGTACAGTATTAAAGTTTTCAGTGGTAAAATCAAAATTAAATTTAAAAAAAAGTAATAATAATAACATATGCAGCCTAAACGTTAAAATTAAAACGTTAAAATTTATAATAAATTTACTTGTAATTTATTAAATAATACGTAAAGTTGCAATGTAAAATGGTATTTTTATAGGCTCTATTAAAATAGAAACATGAAACATTGCCACATGCAACAAATTGCATGTGACAATGTAAGCTTTTATAAGTACAAACTCTGTAAAATTCACTCCAATGAAAAATTCCAAATTGCTATTTTCTCGTTTGCTATTTCTTAGGCCGACCATAATATCTTGATGTCAAAATGGGGCGAAAATAGTCAACCCAAGAATATTTTTCAAATAGACTAACTTATCAATAAGTGGACAAAATAATAAACACTGGTAGCTGGTTGCGGGTTTGCACCTCGCCAACTGGCCATCCACGTGGAGTTTTCGGGGTTTTTTCCACAGCTGAATAACAGCTAAATAAGGGCCTGTTTCCTATATAAAGTCCCCCGGAGCATCCCCTCGGCAGAGTGTCTCGTTGTCGCATACAAATAAACATCAAACTGATCGCATTGTAAGTCGCAATATGAAATAGCCGAGGTGGTTAATCTGTAATCTGCAAGCTTATTGTTCTGGGGTATTTGGGATATAATCTTGGCTGTGTCAAAAATCTTTTCAAAAAAAATTTTCGGGATGATCCCAAATATATCGGGTCTCATGGTTGCGTAGCTTCATTGGGGCGCTGGCAAATTTGAATTAGAAGACCTCGTGTACAGTGTCGACTTCAAATATTTTACTTCGGAAAGTTTTTGGGGAATCCCCGTTCATTTCTTAACGCGACCTCTGGCAGCTAGGATACACGCGCAGACATCTTGTTACATACGGGTACAGAATATACTGAATTCTGATTGGTCGGTTTTGAATCGCCTCCGATTTCAGTCGGCGCGCAATTGAAAACAAAGTAATAGACTATTAAACCAATAAGCGTTCACGTACTAAAAGTAAAACGAATGGCAATTGGCTCCTTTTTTACTCTCTCTCTGCCTTACAGGCACCGAAAGGCTTTTCTTCAAGCCAATCGCGGATTCGGATAGTTAAAGACGGGTCCAAAATATCCAGACCAAACCATCAAAAATTCCTGACGCTTTTGGACCGCCAAGATTCGATTTAGGGTCCCCCCAAAGTGTTAAGTTATAACTTAATTATGTATTATTTTAATGCCTAGATGCCCTAGCCTTAATTATTACATATAAAAATTTTACATCAGTAGCCTGAAAATTTATAGTAGTAATATAAAAGATTATTTATAATGTAAATAAAAGCATATTACTACTTTGTTAACCGTTAATCCTGTAGTTTACTTCTATAAAATTATAATAATGGCATCAATAAATTTAACTAAATGGTTAAAAATTCAATTATAATTATAAATATTTTGTTATACAGAAATTACTTAGCATTGTTCTATTCTAAATGATAAGTGTAAACTCCCTTTGCAATCCCATTAAATGAAGAATTATTTAAATTTCAGTTAATTTATATGAAGATATCAGAATTTTACAAATTAATTAATGAACCTTATTAATATTTTAATCAAATTTAATTAACATAAATTAAATTAAAATGTAGATTATTGTTTGATGATGTAAGGCAAAGCAACACATGCCAATGAAGGATGCCTTCGGGAGGACTTTTTATAGAAATTTGGCCCCTGTTTAGGTTTTTCTTTAACTCTTTCCAGCCTGTGGACACTAAGAGAACCCACTTTTTTTTTTAGCGAGGCCCCATTATGGGTTCGGCCGAATAATGAGGGACGGAACCTGATATCCGGACGGACCACCCTCCAAAATAACTCCTGGGGTTATTCGACTCGTCCGAATTCGAACCCGGGTCCTCCAGACCGGTGGGCTGCCACCCTAATCGCTAAGCCAGCCATCCGGTCGTGCCCGTATATAGGTGTTAGATACGTGAAGAAAATCTGGAAAACTGCACGTGGCCAGCATGTTGGTGAGGCTCGAATCCGCGACCAACTAGCAGTGTTCTAGGGTTTTATTCAATGGTGGGCATACATTATGGGTTTATATAGATTATATGCAATCAAACTGCCAATAAGGACAACCTGTGAACAGCGACCATTTTCCTGATTTTTTTGAACAAAAATGCATACAGAATAACCTCCAAAAGACGACCATTTTTTATGTTCCCGTCAGTTGCCGTTCTTCAGAGGTTTAACCATATTTTTACATAAACAATTTGAAAGTAATAAAGGACATATATTTCAAAATTGATGAAAAATTACATGAAATAATTATTTTATAAAATGTACACATAAAATGGTTACAAACATCCTTTTATGCTCCATTAATTATCAACACAAATTTTAATTTTTTTCATATTCTACTCAGCGTGAATTATGGCCCTAGGCACATAAGATTGGGCCTATCATACATAATTTTATAACATCACAAACTAATAACGTCTATTTGTAGGTATATTACAGTATTTATAAATTGATACGTAATTACAACGTTAAAATTAATAAATTTTGAGGCCCAAGAGTCGGGGCCATAGGCATAGGCCTATGTCTCACGAATCAAGTGGTTAATCCGGCACTGGTTTTATTGCATACCTTCTATGTTTAGTGATTGGAAATAGTTCCTGATAGCAGTTGTTAGGTCTTCTTCTATTGTTGTAAGATGGAGGAGGAACATTTTATCTGTTTTAATGCCCCAAAGACAATTGCCACGTGTTTTTAAGTCTAGTTTTCGAAGAAGCCTCATAATATCGGATGAAGGGATATACTCATCATCTAATAAATTTGTTATTGTGATTTATAAATGGGAGATTTGAAACACAATCTTATGCATAGGGACTCCATGGAACTCTTGCAATGTGCCATAAAGTCCCTATGTACCTACAGTATAGTACGAAATTACCTAATAAAAGGTATACATAATGGTCTTCTTCCATTGTTGTAGGATGGAGGAAAAACATTTTGTCCATTCTTAGGCGATGTACTGTACATAGAAACTTTATGGCACTCTTGCAGAGTGCCATATACACGAGATTGCCTAAGAATAAGGTATACAATTTGCTTTAGCAATTTGTGACGGTTGTAAGCATCACACTTCATGAAATTTTACTCTTCAAAGACCATACGAAACCTCACATTTTACACATGAAGTATTAAGTATGCGAGTATGAAGACTACAAGAGTATGACCATAAAGTTCGTGCATATAAAATCAAGGAAGAAAGTTTAAAATAAATAATCTTTGTGACATTTTATTTTAATTAAGTCTCAAAAACATGTGGGGGTGTACTGTATACATTATTACTAAAAATATTCAGTTTTCAGTAGGTATTTTGAACCAATAATGAGGAATAAAATTATAGAAATGTAGTAAATTCCCTAAGTAAATGTTCTGTTTAAAAAGAAAATAATGATTATAGCTTATATTCTACAAGTGAGGACTCGAGAGAATAAATAAATTAAACGGATATACTCAAAATATACCTGCTTTAATAATTGGTTTCGTTTATGGTAATAACTTTAAAACACAAATAAACGTTTTTTCAGATTACTTTAACAGGAAATTACTTTCCTTGATGTAATTACCATGAATTATTTAAATAGTTAATAAATACAGTATGTATGCTTGTTCTATGTTTATGTTTTCTATTGTTAAAAGTTTGTAAAAGAGAGGAATTTGTTAGACACTAAGCACGAATTTTCGATTATTTAAGTCTTCAAGCCCACCAGTGGCCAAGAGGTTCCGTTCCCTGAACACTGGGAGTTCAGTCGCGCCTCGCCAGAACGGGCTGGCCAAGTGTAGTTTTCCGAATTTTCTCTACGTCTGTAACGCCTGAATAGGGACCAGTTACCCTTGAAAAGATCTCCCGGAAGGCATCACCTCTAAGCACCTCACCGAAGTGTTGCGTTGCCGTAACTTAAGAAAACAAGTTACAAAATACTGCTAATGAAGGATCAAAACTTGCTAAAAATAAATCCCCTGCGGCTTTCTTACAATAGTCATTATTCGGGCATATTTACTAAAAAATAATATATTGGGTGCTTCAAAACTTTCCATACCTCATTACGCATTCATAGAGTATGGCATTTAACTGAATATACAGTATGCACCAATGCCTTCCCCCTCTTTATGAGAAAACTCGCTTCTGATGTGTATGTGTAATGCGCGTACAGTACACACACACACACACACACACACTCAAAATTGAAATCGTTTATACTGAATAAGTGAATATATATTAGAATATTTCCCAATTCTTTATCATTATGATTACTAGAATCTATTTAATAATCAAAATGTGTGTCGATACCCATGATTAGTGGATACCCCCCCGTACGCTAGTAATTGGTCGTGGGTTCGCGCCTGGTCAACGGGTTGAGACGTGAAGTTTTGAGGCGTTTCCCCACTTAAACAGGGGCCACTTTCTAATAGAAAGGCCTCCTGAGAGGCGTCTTTGAAGGTCTTGACAGATCCATCACAAAGAACATTACAAGATATTCTTTGGGTATGTGTTATAGAGATATCATGTATGCTTATAACTTGTACACTATATTAGAAAGGCAATTTTCAGTTTGTTTATAATATTGGGCCATCGAACTTAAGAGGCATCCAACATAATGAATTATATTAATAAATAATATTAGGTGGAACGTTAAAAGGACCCGAAATCAGTTGGCAGTAAGACCTCTAGTTCTGTTAATTCATCAGTTGGCAGTAAGACTGCTAGTTCTGTTAATTCATCAGTTAGAAAATATACATAAAAAGTATGTTTATAGTGTTTTAACTATATTTTATTTGCATGGGAATTTTGTTAATTTTAAGAAATATGTTTTTTGTTTCTTCAAGTTTCTTCGAAATTGTTTCCCATGGCGATGGACACAAATTAATTTATGAATTTTAAAAAATAAGATTTAATCGTTCTTCCTACTTACCTTTTTTGCTCTCTTTTAATTAAATATATATTTTAAAAAATTCTAAATATATAATAAATCGATTATAAACGACATATAACATACAACATTTAATTAAAAAATTGTGGTATAATATTTTATGTTTATTATTTTTCCCTACATAAAAGAAAAACTATAAGAGGATTGATGGATAAGGCTACGCAACACGTAGGTTATTTGCCAATGGGAGTGCCTACCAGGAGGACTTTCTATGAGAAACTAGCCCCTATTTAGGTTTAATACAAAATGAGAAAAACGTCACATGTTTACGTATGCTCGTGTACAACAACACATTAATGAAGTAATTATATTTAAATCACACATATTGTCTGGTCTGTTGATTCAAATTATTATTTACATAATTTATTACATAGATTTTATTAAAATGTCTTCTCTGTATGGTAATTACACTTTTATTATTATTTTATTAGGTGCCGCATTCCTTTACTCCAGAAATTTCACGTAATGAATGTTATACATTAGTGTTTGAATTAGTTTGCGAATTATTTTTAATGATTAACATCAATTTAATGTTATTTTATTTAATGATAAGTTGCTATACTAGCTTAATGTATAGGAGAATATCATATGATAAGCATCCTTCACCACAAAGTAATAAATAAATATATAAGAGGCCCTCCTCCTCCTCCTCCTCTTCCATATCATATTTAATTTCAAAACGTGAGGCCCGTTATGTGTAAATCAGGCCCATTTTACTCTCGTGTTGAGAATGATTGGATCGTTAAAATAAGGCAAAGCAAAACTTGGGCGATTTGTATTACCACAGGAGGGCTTTCTCTAAGAAACAGGCGTCCTATTTAGATGTTACATATGTGAAGAAAACAGTGAAAACGCGCGGCCACTCTATCAGTGAGGTACGAACCCGCGATCATCTTCTTGGAAAGGAGACGAATAAAAAGAAAATATCCACCAAAAAATGTAAATTATTTAAATAAAAATAAACATTTTAAAATAAGTTATACACTTATAAACACTATGTTTACTTGTTAAATATTGTCGATGATTAAAGTACATCCGTAACGCTCTATAATCGATTTGTCAGCATAAATAACGACCGAAAAAATGGGGAAGAAAATAGTGATTATCTAGAAACAATTAGGGAACCTATTATTAGAAAAATAATCCAAAAAAAGAAGAAACGTTTGTACGTCAGTAAGTTACCTCTATACACTTTCATCTGTAAGTACCGAATGATTAACCTTATTGCTTTGTTATTAAACTAATTTTTTCCTATTTAATGTCTCAAGTTACATCACTTAAAATCTTTTGTTAGTATACAAAATAAAGAATTGTTCCCTGAAAAAACCTTTGTAAATAATAATAATAATAGTAATTAAACGTGGAATAAATATTTAACAATGTACTGTACTTACCTTCAATAATTGATTGTAGACAGTTGAATGTAAAATTAACAATTACTTCTTCTTTATATTTATTCATGTAAAATATGAATAGAAAGAAAAATAAATAAAGTAATAATGAAATTTTTATAAATATTTCCCATTAAATTTATGTAAATAATAATACAAAAATGAAGTAAGAAAATATTCTTTTTTTTCCATTTATGTGGAAAGAAAATATGAAATTAATAAATAATAAAATAATAAAAAATAAATATAAAACATAATAATAATTTATTTATTTATTTTTTTATTTTGTATTGAATAATAAATGAAATAAAATTAGAAAAAAAATTTATTGGGGTTTATTGATTTTCAAACTGCAGGGTGTCCTAAAAGTCAGTTAACCGAAATGTATTTTAAGACTATAAATTGGTTAACTAACTTTTGGTCACCGACAAGAACAGAAAACTGGCCTCAATTTAGAGGTGGCTGTTTATTAGAGGTTCGAGTGTATTATAACATTATAAAGACAAGATAAAGACTAGAAATAATAGAAATGAATGAGAATTTTGTAGTCTCTTTTTACTTATTTTATATATTTTAAATAAATATTATTTAAAATTTTTAAGTTTTATATATCTGGTCTCGACTTTCATTTATATAATAACTCCGTTTTCGAGATTATGGAAGGACAGACAGAAAACAGACGGACGGACGCCAGTGGGGATTTATAGGTATGCAAATTTTTGAAAATTGCAGCCTGATGTGTACGCATTATTTACATAGAAAATATACGTTATTTTGGAAAGTTAAACTTTTTATTTTTTTATAAATAAAAATTTATTGTTAAGTGTTATATAACACTGTTAAATAGCCTATTATTAATAATAAAGACACATTTTCTAATAAGGTTTTGTATCATGAGGATTTTATACACATGGGTTGTGTATCCATGAGATTTCATACACGTATTATTGTAGCCAGAGGATTTTATAACGTACCCATAGAATTTTACGCACACGGATTATTGTATTCACGAGATTTTATACAAATAAGCTATTGTATCAATGGGCTTTTGTACCCATAGGATTTTTTTTTTATACAGATGAGCTATTATATCAATGGGTAAATAAATCCATGGTATTTTCTACACGTGGGCTTTTGTTTTATGAGAATTCCCTTTAAATTTCTGTCCTGAAATCTATAATATTCACCAAAATTTTATTAACGATTTTTATTTTAGGTTCCTATACTAAAATTAAATAAATTTATAAGATTCTATTTTTCGATTTATTTTTTATATCGATTCTTTTCTACCGATTTCCTTGTTTTACGCTTCGATTTTTTTCCTTAAAATTTGCAATTTTCGTGTCTTAAAATCAGGAAATTGAAACTGAAACAACATTAAATGCATCAATAATTTTACTTTTTTATTCAGAAATCCAATAAATTTGAAACACTTGACTTAAAAATTGAAGTAACACATTTTAAGACGCTGCTTTACTTGTTCATCATTTAATAAAATATGGTAAATTGTTTAAAATATTTTAATAATATGAAATGGAAGGCATACAATATACACTTTCTCGTAATTATTTCAGTAATTTAAATTTTTAAATGTAATCATTTAAAAAATAATTTAATTAAGATAAGTTAAACAGAAATGTAAAAAAAAAAGTTCACATAGTTTGCGATTTGCGACAAGCGATAGCGACAACGCGATAATAGTTGCGATGTTTTAAATGCGACTCGATATCAATTGGAAAATGACGCAAAAATTGACAATACTCTAACATGGTTACAAAATGTTCCAAGTGAAATCATCAATGATGCAATTTTTATCATGAATTTAACTTAAGAAACTTTGTTTTAATGCTTTTTTATAGCGATAATCACAGGAGGATTTGGAGAGAAAGCAAAAGAGGCAAAAAAAAGAAAGAAACTATAAATAGCTCATGCCCAGGAATTAAGAGGATATACACCATTAATAAATATAAAAATGATGGATATTCTTGCAGATGTAACTTAAAGGATTTTCTTTAACACATATCTAAATACCAAACAAAACAAGAGATTAATTATTTTCTGAGCGTTTATATATAATTCATCAAAGAAACTTTTGTAATATGTAACTTTATAGCATTATAAGAGTCACCTTTTATGGTTTTAGGAAACAAAAAGTTCAGATAAATTCCTAGTTTCTACTAAAAGCAAATCTATGTAGAATGAAAAAAATGGATGAGAAAGTGGCATTAGTGATGTTCCTTCGTTGACAACAGTCAAAAGTTATGAGAAAAATGCCTAAAACCATACCAAAAATGGCGCTATCTTCTAATATTCGCTATTACTATCAATATTACTTAGCGGGATCTAGCGATCTCATTAGTATCACCAATGTCTCATGATCTCTAATGAGATCATTAGTGATCTAGTCAGTTGTATGACACGATTGCTAACGAATCGCGCGATAAAAAAAAGAGGTTCTTAGATCGCTAGCAAATCACGCAATACTACCACTCTCGCGCGATTAATAAAATAATGATAAATAAAAAATATCGCGCGATTAATCGTGCGACTAATCGTACGATTAATCGCGCGATATTTTTCATTTATCATTATTTCATTTAATTCATTATTTTTCATTAATCACGCAATATATTTCATTTATCATTTTTTTTTCATTTTTTATTAATCGCACGATTAATCGCGCGATATTTTTTTATTTCTTTAAATTCGAAATCGCAAACAGCGAATTATGTGAATCTTGAAACAAAAAAATTCAAATTAAAAAATTATTTAAAAAGAAAAGCAAATAATTTATAAAATATTTATGTTAATTAGAGAAATATATGATTAATATTATTATTTTTATTTAGAATTTACACTTTATTAATGAAGTTTCAACAATACAGATTGTTAGTAAATATTAAAACTTAACTTAATTTTCTATTATCAACATAAGTAAAATTCTGTTTATACATTTTAGTCAAATGATAAAAGAAAAACATTTAATATGTATATATATATATATTGTGTGTTTATAGATATACTTTACTTTATCTTCATTAATAAATAAATTTTCATTGATAAATTAAGGAAGTACACAGCTGAAGGATTTATTTGTCTCGTCAGTTTTTGATACATTATCATCATTAACCATTAATTTATTCACATCTGGATTTGGAAATCTGAAAATAAAGATAAAAAATAAATAAAAAAACGTTTTTCTTTCCGTTTGTATACACGGGAATTAATTTTACATTGTTTTCAATTATAAAATATACAGCACTTCTTAACCCAAAAGACACAGGGCCGGATTAACAATAGGGCATAAGGTGGGCATCCGCAAAATATCAGGCATTAAAAAATGATAAAATTAATAGCGGATCCAGAAATATTTAGAAATAGCGCAGAAAGGAAACAGTAAGCTTTACAAAATTTTTAAATTAATGTCTGACGATGCTTTGCTTGGTAAATATTCCCCAAAGTGGGTGCTGCTGCGCCCACTAAATCCGCTCCTGGATAGGATTGATGGAATAAGGCAAGCCAATACATTGACGATCTGCTAATGAGGAGATGTCTCCCGAGAGGACTTTCTATAGGAAATTATTCTTATTTAAGTGTTAGAAAACTGAAAGACTCCATGTGGACAACCAGTTGCACGAGGGAGAAACCTACGACCAATTGCTAGTGTTTAGTGGTTTCGTTCATACGGCAACCTCTAGAAAAGAAAAGAAGGAAGAGAGAAAAACGAGAGAGAAGTGAGAAGCGAGATGAGAGAAGCAAGAGGAAAAAGTGAGAAAAGAGATGAGAGAGAGAAGGGAAGTGAGTTGAGAGAGATGAGAGAGAAAAAAGAGGGAGAGAAGAGGAGGGCATTCTTTAAATTTCTTCACAGGGACATTTTCTCACTTAATCCGGCTCTGTCGAGATACTAAATCAATTGAATTAATTAATTAATTAATTAAAATTTTACAATAGTAAAGGAGGAAAAAATGTTATTTTTTTAGTATAANCATTCAAAAAGATTTAAATATGTTAATTAATCGAAGAACAACACCTAAAATATAATATAAATCCTATTGAAGATCTTATCTTGCTGTATATATATAAGGCTTAAACTATGTACTTCATATCTTAGAGTGGATGATTACGAATTTCTATACTTTAATATAATACAGAGGAATACTGTACAATCTTCTATACTATAATACAGTACAGAGAGATACAAACTTCCATACTTTAATATAGTACAGAAGGATACAATCTTCTATCCTATAATAAATGCATTATTATACTATAGTGTATACTGCTGTATTTTATGTTAGTACAGAATTCTATACGAACTTCTGTTACGTATCACTAAAAATTTTAATATTCCTATACTCTATACCCTCGTGTAGGAATTACAGCAATGGCTACATATCTATAGGCGTTATTTATCTTACAGGAATTTAGGCATTGCTATAACTTCTACACGAGAGTATAGAGTATAGGAATATTAGAATTTTAGTGATACATAAAAGAATGTTGTGTAGATTTCTTTACTAACATAAACTATAGGTATAATAGTGCTAGTGTTTGTGGTATAGAAAACTGTAGGAAAGGTTCCTGAAATATATTTTTTTTTCTTCAACGTATTATGGATTTTATATACGTTTTTAGTCCATATAACTTAAGTTTTAAATTATAAAAGTTTCAATAGAGAATTTATTTATATAAAGTTTAGAAAACTGTAGAATGTTAGATAATAAAGGCGTAGAAATTAAAATTTTTGAGGAAAAAATTAAAATATTCATCAAAGAAAATGAATTAATGAAAGAAAATTGAGGAATAAAAAAATTTAGAAAGAAAAAAAGTATAGAAGTAGAAATATTTTCGTATTTCTAACAAAGTAATAAAAATGCTTCTAGATATTTAATCCTCTCTAGAACAAATATGTAACGAATAAATATGTAGGAGGCAAGAACTATAGAAATGAATTAATAACTGAAAAAGATACACAAGAAACAAGGAAATTAAAGTAATAAATCAAGAAATAGATATCTG